TACCCATGAGGGTTTGTACCAATATTCAAAACTGGGGTACATAAGCCTGCGCCCTTTTTCAGCAGATGATGGAGAACATTTTACAAAGTCTACCCCGGGTTGCCATTTATCTGGATGACATGCTAATAAACAGGAAAACTAATAAAGAGCACTTGGAGAACTTGGACATAGTGCTTAAAGGTTTCCCCCAGCCAGGTGCATGCCTTATGAGGGAAAAATGTATGTTCCAGGCATCCGAAGTGACCTACTTGGGCTACAGAGTTGACAGGACCAGGTTACACCCATTGGAAGATAAAGTGAGGGTGATCAAGGGGGTCCCGGCTCGTGCGTCTGTACCAGAGCTGAGGACTTTCCTTGGTTTGGTGATTTATTACAGAACATTCAAACGTAACCAGGCCTCCATCTTAGCAACCTTAGACTTAAAGGTTCAGCGTTGGAAATTGTCACATAGCCAAGAAGTAGCCTTAAGAGAAGTAAAGAAGCAGCTATCGCCATCTAAGGTGTTGGCCCACTGTGATACCAAGTGAGATGTGGTACTAACATGCAAGGCCTTCCCATACAGTACTGGGGTAGTATTGGCTCACTGGTGGCCTAACAGAGAGGAACGCCCGATAGCGTATGCTTCCTGGACTTTGGCTGATGTCGAACGCAAATACGTCCAGATAGAGAAGGAAGGTTTGGCGGTCATTTTTGGTGTGAGAAAGTTATACCAATATCTTTATAGATGTAAATTTGTCATAGTAAGGGACAACAAACCTCTGCTAAGGCTACCTAAAGAAGGCAAGGCTGTGCCACCAATACCTTCTGGTTTAATTTGGCAGTGGCCTCTTATTCTGACTGCATACAATTGCAAGTTAGAACACTGTCCGGGCAGCCAAGTGGAATTGCTGATGCCTTAAGCCACTTCCCTCTGGCAGATACACCACCCCTGGTGCTGCCACTGGAAAAGTCCATTTTGGTTTTAGACTTCCTAGACACCCTTCTGGTCACCGCTGACAATATCCAAGTGTGGACACAAAAAGATCCCATCCTGGCAAAACTAAAACAACTGGTGGTGATGGGGGAAACAAAAGGGCTATCACAACCAGAACTGAAACCTTTCTGGACCCAGTCAGACTGGATCACCGTGGAGGACAGCATATTATTATGGAGAGCAAGAATGATTGTCCCGAGTAAAGGTTGCCACCTGAACTCAATCAGGGTCATCTGGGAGTTTCCAAAATGAAAATGTTGGCAAGACTTTATGTCTAGTGACCAGAATTGGATACTGACATAGCCTCATTGGTGGGGCAGTGCCCAAAGTGCCAACAAGGATAAAAACTGCTGCCAGCAGCTCTCTTACATTTGTAGGAATGGCTGGGCAAACACTCGTCTGAGTTACACACAGAGTATGCCGGTTCTTTCATGAGCTTAATGTTCTTGGTCATTGTGGATGACCGTTCAAAATGATTGGACATGCATAGCGTTCAATCAGCAAACTCAGGGTTGACAATTGAAAAACTGCGAGCATCATTTACCATATACGAATTCCCAGAAGTATTGGTCACGGACCATTGGGATGTCATTTACCAGCAGTGAATTTGAGTATTTCCTAAAGTTGAATGGCATTCAGCATGTTTGGACAGCTCTATATTATCCATTGTCCAATGATCTGGTGGAAAGAGCGATCCAAACATTGAAGGCAGTCTTAGAGAAAGCTTCACTTGATACCAAACTGTCCTGGTTCCTGTTTAATTATAGAACCATCTCTCAGACATCTACAGGGATACCTCCAGCAGACTCCTTTATTCTTTACTCATTCACGGAATGAGGGCGTCGCTGGCCAGGCCAGCTCATCCCTAATTGCCCAGAGGGCAGTTAAGAGTCAATGACATTGCTGTGAGTCTGGAGTCACATGTAAGCCAGACCAGGTAAGGATGGCAGTTTCCTTCCCTAAAGGACATTAGTGAACCAGATGGGTTTTTCCTGACAATTGGCAAGGATTCATAGTCATCATTATCCTAAATTCCAGACATTTATTGAATTCAAATTCCACCGTCTGCAATGGCGGGATTCAAACCCAGGTGCCCAGAACTTTATCTGGATATCCGGATTAACAGTCCAGCAATAATACCACTAGGCCATTGCCTCCCCTGATCCACACCAGCTAAACCTGATATTCTTGGACCTGAGGAGGGAGGGTGAAACGGCAGTGGGAACACCAATGCCAGCCAAATGCCTCCTCTAAAAAAGAGAGATAGTTTACTTCACGGGATGAAGTTTAGTTTCGAAACCACTGAAATGGCCCTGCCTGGGTGAGAGGTGAGTTCGACATGAAGTCAGATCCGTGACATACAAGGTTTAGGTAGGTGAGGCAGTCCTGAACAAACATATAGAAGCTGCTACCTCGCAAATGGGGCAGGAGCAGAGCATACCTGGCTCATCAGAACAGCCAGAAAGGCTGTCAGAATCCATGGGCTTTCCCCATCTGTCTTGAATCGAAGAAACTTCAGAATCTGAGATGGATGCAGCCGATGTTGCAGCCTTGATACAACTACCTCCTGAAGAATAGCAGGAAACTCTCCTGAGATGCTCCAGGTGCAAGAGATGGGCTATGGTCTGGTAAACATTGCCTGTGTCCGAATCAGAGGAACCCGAACTGGGGCAAAAATGTCCCAGGAAAAATTACAAGAAAAAGAATAGGCCGACATCTCTGGACTTAGGTGGGGAGGGATGTAGTGATTAGAACGAGGGCCAGGTGGATCTCAGCATGAGATCCTTGATTGGGGTTATTAACCTGGGCCAATCAGAGAGCTGTGCTGATGGATATAAACAGGAATCTCTGTGATTCTCCTCATACTAGAGACTGGCTTTGATCAAGTTAGTCAGAGTCCATATACTGTGCATGTGTAAATAAAATGTGACTTGGTGATGGGATAGTTGCTTCCTTGGAGTTATTTCGATAACCTAACACATTGCCATTTGTGTGGATACTCTTTATTTTACCTTTACTTTCATCATTTTGTTTGGAGCTGTGAACAGTGAGTGGAGAGCTGAAGTTGACCTTTGTACTGTGAGCAGCAGCTTGTTTTTAAAAAAGAGAGAGAACAAACAAACTAGTATTTGCTTATGAGGCTAGGCCTGGAAGTTAATTGCAGATGGATTCTTGTTCAAAGAGCTCTAAAGATGTTTCATCTCTGGAGCATTGTGCTCAAGCAGATGGCAGATTTTTAAAAATTCACTTGTGGGAGATGGGCTTCGCTAGCTGGCCAGCATTTCTTGACCATCCTTAGTTGCCCTTGAGAAGGTGGTGATAAGCTGCCTTCTTGAACCGCTGCAGTCCTCCTGCTGTGGGTTGACCCACAATGCCATTAGGGAGGGAATTCCAGCATTTTGACCCAGTGACAGTGAAGGAACGCCGATATGTTTCCAAATCAGGATGGTGAGTGGATTAGAGGGGAACTTGAATATGATGGTGTTCCCATATGTCTGCTGTCCTTGCTCTTCTAGATGGAAGAGGTCATGGGTTTGGAAGGTGCTGTCTGAGCATTTTTGGTGAATTTCTGCAGTGCATCTTGTAGATAGTACACATTACTGCTACTGAGCATTGGTGGTGGAGGGAGTGGATGCTTGCGAATGTAGTGCCAATCAAGTGGGCTGCTTTGTCCTGGATGGTGTCAAGCTTCTTGCGTGTGGTTGAGACTGCACTCATCCAGGAAAATGGAGAGTATTCCATCACACGCCTGACTTGTGCCTTGTAAATGGTGGACAGGCTTTGAGGAGTCAGGAGGTAAGCTACTCATCGCAGTATTCCTAGCTTCTGACTAGATATTAACTGGAGCATCTCAGGGAGACCAGTGTCAACTAGTTCATGAAAGAGAAACAAAAGTTTGAACGGGTTTGAACTGTGTGTTTTTGTCAGAAAGATTGTGGTGCCAAAGCTAAGGAAAGGAGGTCTGTTTGCTCTCTGGTTATCCTCCTATTATCAACTTATTGGAAGTTCAGAGACTAGAATCTCAGTTATAAGAATTAAGGGAATATTTCTTGAAATATTCTTGAAGCTGTTTTGATTCACTGGTGTCCTCAGAAACCAAGCAAGGTACAACCCCGTGTGCCTGTGTTATTACAGATCATGGGGACTGCTTAAGTGAACAATTATATCTTCCTTTTGTTTTGATTTATCCGTTAACTGTGTCTGTTTTGTGTGAGTGGGGATTAGAATCAAGGAAGATTGAGTCAAAAACATAGACATTAATTAGATTACATTGTTGTTTAACTTTGTTCTGCTAAAACTATTGTACTATTAATTAATTCTTTTTGTTTAAGCTATAACCTTGGTGTTTGGTATTAGTTATTTACGAAGTCTGGTTAGAAACCTTTGGGATAATTTTGAGGGTCATTGAATGCTTTAATTTTACTGTGTTTTGAATACAGGAATTAGGAGAGCGACTTAAATTGTCTGTCTGTCCCTGTGTCATAACATATTGAATTGGGGGCAGTAAACAGATAGGATGTTCCACTAAGTAAAGAAAAGGTGCCCCATCAAAACAAGATTAGAAACATAGCAGTTAGCCATCTGTTTACCTCCCATCCGTGGATGCTGTCTTACCCGCTGTGATCCCCAGCATTTGTTGTGTTCAGTACAGATTCCAGCATCTGCAGTAATTTGTTCCTACCTAAGGTCATTGGGGTTAGATGGGAATGCGGAATTTGAAACACAAGCAGCACAACCATAATCTTATTGATTGGCAGAACATGCAAGAGGTTCTGAATGGCCTGCTTCCAGTTTTGAATACACAAATGTCACTTTGCAAGAAACAGGTCAAAACATATGGCAATTTTTACGTTAAAATACTGAAGGGGCTCGACCCAAAACGTCAGCTTTCCTGCTCCTCTGATGCTGCTTGGCCTGCTGTGTTCATCCAGCTCTACACCTTGTTATCTCATTCTCCAGCATCGGCAGTTCCTACTATCTCTGAACTTTTATGAAGTTGCTCAGCAGAGAAACCTTTGAACCATACCTTTTGAAGTGAGAAGATTCTGACAATATATTCTGCTCGAAACTCTGTTTTAATGAAAGTAACACTTATGTCTCCATACAGCTCTGTGTCATCAGGCCAGTATTTGCAGCAGTTGACCTGTGATATAGAAAAAATACCAAATTTATCCTTTATATAGCTCAATTTTGTTTGCAATTCAAGCTATTAAATATGATTCATTTCTGCCAAATTTACACTCAACTGATGAAGAGAAATGTGTACTATTAAATCAAAGATTATCATACTGTTCTTGACTGCAGACCACCAGACAACATCTTCAGATTGGTTATTCTCTTACAAAAAAATACTACTTGCTGCTTTACTGAGGCAGACTTTCAAATTTAAGAAGATCTACTTGGATTTCAATCATAAAGGCCAGTCTTCTAAAGTCCTTGGAGGCTAATATCTAATCCAGAGATAAGAGATATGCAGAAAGTCTGTTCCAGGCCTACAACCCTGAGAAAAAGCTCAAAGTACTGCTGAAGACTGGTAGATCCTTCAGCAAGCATGGTAAGGGACAGGGCGAATACTTTCTAGAATAGAAGGAATCTTGAAATACTGTTGGAAGCCACAGCAAAGAGGAACAAGGGAGATGCTGGAGAACATTGAGAAAGGGAAGGATTCTGAAAACCAACAGCTGAAAACCAGAAGACCGTGCCTTAATGAAGGAAGATTTCAAGAATCCTATTTGTTTGGGAGACAGCAGAGAAGGACTTTTCCCCAGAGTGTCACACCCTAGCCCCAACTAGTGTTACACTCAGTATAATTTGGATGTATCAACTTTCGACTCCATCTCCAAGTGGATGAGGTTTCCTGTTACTAACGTGTGCTTCAAACATCACTCTCCTGTTAAATTAGTCTCATTGTATGCCTTTGGGAGATGAATTCAGCTGTGACTCCCACTCTGACTGCAATCTAGTGTCACCTGCTGGGAAGGGCATGAACCTAAAGGTGGGGTAATGACAATGGAGGCCTTGATTACAATGCTATTCATGGTTAAGTAGTCATCTGACACTTACTTAAAAATCTGTCACAAACGATTAGAGGTTAGTAACCAGTCCCCGGATCAGAGGTATATCTCATGTTTACAGTTTTTAAGGACGTTAAAGGAGAATATTGAGAGATGCAAAAAAAACCTCGAAAAAGAAGGGACTTCATTAGAGAAAGTTGAATCTTTTGCAATATGTTGTTTGTCTGGAAAATCATGGTTTCTGACTGGCTAATCTCCTGATCCATGTTCTGGGATATAATGTAGCCCTAATGTTTCAGAACATATGTCAAACTTTGATCATTTGAAACTGCTGAGATTTGAACTTATTTATGAAGCCACTTGTAGTGCCAAATCTGTGTGATTTTTGAGAATCATGACACAGAATAATGGGACTTGGCTACTGAGTAACATTGGTCTGTTCTTTAACAATGAGAAGTGCAGAGTTGCCCAGATCTGACCTCAAACTGCCCATTTCATGCACCCTGTTTAAAATTTGGGTGCATTCTCACACAATGCAGATTCACCAAGAAGAAAAGTTAAAATGGTAATCAACTGGTATTTTGCATCAAAATACCTCCCATCTTCCACCTCCATCTGTGTATTGTACTGTCCAATATGGCCTCGTATCTAGAGCTGATGCTATACAGAATGTCAACACCAGTCACGTCTAATTTCAATACACTAATGAACATGTGGGCATACATCAGCAAATACACACACACACACACACACACACACACACACACACACACAGAGTGACATGATAGCAAATTGTTGGAGTGATAGAAAACTGCAAAAAGGCTGCAGTCTCTGGCCAGGCCAGCATTTATTGCCCATTCCTAATTATGTTACAAGTCAACCACATTGAGGATGGTCTGGAGTCACATGTAGACCAAACCAGTTAGGGATGGCCATTACCTTCTCTAAAGGACATTAGTGAACCAGCAATGGTTTCATTGTCACTATTACACTCTTAATTCCAGATTTAAAAAAAAATTCATTTAAATTCCACAACCTCCATGGTAAGATTCAAACCCAGCTCCCAGAATATTACCTGGGTGTCTGGAATAATAATCAGTAATAACAGGCTTCGCCTCCCCTTTCATCTAATAGAATGGCTGGTTATGTTTGGAAATTTTATACATAAAGGGGTTGAAAGAGAAAAGTAAAGGAAGTGTACATAATGAAGTGATTGGGCATAAGATCCTGTGGAGGACTAAAACATAGCACCAGGAAGGTGAACAAGGATGAAGCAGAGGAAATAGGAAACAGCCTCAACTAGTCAAGGAAATGCACCACAACTTTCAATTGTCCTGTGTCCTTTCTATTTTAAATATGTAATGCATTAATTCTTACTTCTGTCAAATAGTCATAACTATTACAATCAAGTTTTTTTTTCAATTTTGGGATGTGAACATCACTGGCATTGTCATGAAGCCAAGTCTTATTGCCCTTGAGAAGATAATGTTGAGCCACTTCCTAGCAGTGCTTGCGAGGCCATTTAAGAAGGCAGCTAAGAACCAACCATAATCCTGTATATCTGGAATCACATTTGGCCTAGACAGGTGAAGGTGGTAGATTTCCTACCCTAAAGGGCACTAGCAAGTCAGATTTTGGACAATCTGGTAGTTTCACAATCACCATTACTGATATAAGCTTATTATTCCAAATTTAATTTAATTGACTGAATTTAAATTCCTCAGCTGCCTTGATGGGATTTGAACCTATCACTGGCTAATTGGTCTGGGACTCTACAAATATAGGAGCAGTGGTGGATCATCAAGTTCTTTGAGCATGTTCTACTATTCTAGATCATAGCTGATCATTTATCTGAAAGCCATTTTTCCACTCTTATCCCCATGCTTCTTGAAATCATTAGAATATAGAAATTTGTTTATCTCTGCCCTACATGTACTCAATGACTGAGTTTCCACACCCCTCCATGGTCAAGAATTCCAAAGATTCATGAGCCTCAAAATGAAAAAAAATCCTCATCTTAGCCCAAAGGATCTTGCCCCTTATTCTAAGACTGTGTACCCTGGTTCTAGACCCCCAGCCAGGGCAGCCATCCTTTCTGCATCTTCCCTGTTGACCACATTAAAAATTTTGTAGATTGAAATAAGATCACCACTTATTCTTTTAAACTGAAGAAGATGGGCACGGCATCCACCATCTATCCTATGGACAGTTCTGCCATCGCAGGAATTGTCCAGTGAGCCTCTGTTAATGAACGTGATGCTGCCATATATAGTGCCAGTATAAAAAAATGAACAGAATAAAAATTAACGACGCTGGATGCCTTAGAAACAAGAGTAGACAAACTAGCTCTTCAAGGCCACTCTACCATTAAAGTTATTGCTAATCTGTACCTCAACTCCACTCTTCCACCTTTTCTTAACATCCCACAATTACTTGAACAAACAAAAAATTTGATACTTGCAATGTCTTTGATTGCATGATTGTTGGATTATAATGCCTGCTTCCTATCCATGAATCTGAACAAATGGAAAGCTGGATAAGCTCTATTAAGGTGAGTGTGCTCCTCCCAATTATTCTATATTTGTTGTGGCTAACTGATCATGAACATACAGATGGGGGATTAGGAAATACACCCTGCAAAACTCTTTTCATACTTTAGTTGCCTCTAGACTTGACTTTCAACACTTGTCTGCCTGGCCTCCCAACTTTGTCCCTCTGAAAACCTGAGCACATCTAAAAGCATCCCATGCAAATTCTAACTCACATCAGGTTCTGCTAATCCAATATACCTGTCCCTATTAAGCTACATTACACTTTCACCAGTATGGCTGTTTGATTCTCATCCGTGATTTTAAATCTCTCCAGGATTACAATCATCTTCACTAGAGAAGGAGATTTCGTAGTGGTACTGTTGCTGGACTAATAATCCAGACACCAGTTAATGCTTCTGGGAACCTGGATTCAAATCTCACCGATGTAGATTGTGGATATAGCTGATAACAATGTTCACATATCCCATCCTCTCAACTGATGAATCAGTACTCCTTCATGTTGAACATAAGCTGGAGGAAGCATTGGTGCATAGAATGTTCGCTGAGCGACGTACTTCAGTTTTCATCAGCACGAGTGGCTCGGCAGCATCACTACTGACTGAGCTGATAGAATCCTGAAGGACATAGCTACCAGATTTTGTCTGTAGCAGGTGCTGAAGAAACTGAAAAAACCAAGAGAGGAAAACATACAAGACTTCATCTTCACCAATCTGCTTGCCACAGCTGTATTTGTCCCTAAATTCCTCTGTAGGAGTCTTGCTGGAAATGAAGTTCCATCTTTACATTGAGGATAATCTCCATTGTGTTGTGTGGCACTACCATTGTGCTAAATTGGATAGATTTTGAACAGATCTAGCATCTCAAGCTTCAGCATTATGCAACATGGTCAAACTTCAGAGCAGCAGAATTGTATTCAAGCACAACCTGCAACATGGGGCTTATTTCCCAATCTACTATGCCACCAAGCCAGGGTGGATCAATTCTGATTCAATGAGAAGTGCAGAGGGTAGCAGCTTGCACACATAAAAATTAGGTGTCAACCTAACCCTAGTTCCAATATAGACTACTTGCATGCCAACTTGCACAAACTGCATGTGCTGGACAAAGAGAAGTAATCTCACAACGAACAGATCAGTTCTAAACTCTGTAGTCCTGTCACATTCAGTTGTAAATAGTGGTGGACAATTAAACAACTCATTGGAAAAGGAGGCTTTCAGAAACAATCCCATTCTCGATGTTGAGGATGCCTGGTACATCAGTGTAAAAAATGAGGCTGAAGCACTTGCAACAATCTTTAACCAGAATTGCTGAGTGGATGATCCATCTTGGACTCTGCCTGTGGTTTCCAGCATCACAGCCAATTTGATTCATTCCATTTAATATCAAGAAATGACTGAGGGCACTGCATGCTGCAAAGGCTATGAGCCCTGACAGCACCCCAGCAGCACTGCTGAAGATTTGTGCTCCAGAATTTGCCGTGCCCCTAACCAAACTTTACTACAGCTATCACATTGGCACCGACCTGACAATGTGGAAAATTACTGAAGCAATTTCTATACACACAAATTTGGACAACTCTAGGCCCATTAAACTACTCTCAGTCATCAGCAAAGTAATAAAAGAATGCATCAAGGTATTGAACTGCACTTGCAAAGGAATGACCTGATCACTTACGCTCAGTTTGGATTCTGCCAGAGTAACTCAGTTCCTCACTTCATGATAGCCTTAGTCCAAGCACGGACCAAAGAGGTGAACTCAAGCAGTGAGATGAGAGTGACTGCCCTTGGCATCTAAACAATATTTGATCTAGTATGACATGAAGGAATCATTGCAAAACTGGACTCAATGAGAATCAGCAGCAAACATTCTTTGGGAAAACAGCAGAAGGGAAAATAGGTTGGGCTTAGTGGAGATCAGTCTTCTCAGTTCTGGGAGATCAGTCATCTTAGCTCCAGGACGTAATGACAGAGATTTCTAAGGGTAATATGTTCTTGGCACAACCATCTTCAACTGCTTCAACAACGACCTTTCCTCCATCTTAAGGTCAGAGTTGGAAATGTTTGCTGATGATCACACAATGCACCATTTGCAACTCTTCATATATCGAAGCAGTCCATGTCCAAATGCAACAAGATCTGGACAATATCCAGCCTGGGCTGACAACTGCCAGGAAACATTCACGTTACACAAGAAATTACAATGACCATCTCCAATAAGACCAAATCTAATCATCACCAATTGACATTCAATGGTATTACCATCACAGAATCCCCACCTGTCAACATCCAGGGTTCTACCACTGACCAAAACCTGAGTTTCAAAACAGTGACATTTGGTGTTGGTTACTTAAGTGAAGGATATTAAACTAACTGTGTTAATACTTCTGGAATATTATCCTAATCCAGTATGTATCAGAGGACCCATGGAGCGTTAATAGATGATTGTTAGTACTGTGCTGTTTTTACAATTAAGAGTGTAAACATTGAGGGCAATCAGTTCATTTCTGGTTTAGGATAATCAAAGACTGATGCTAGCTTAGGAAATTCAGAAATTGTAAGAGTTTGAGCAATTTAGAGGATTGACTCTTGTTTGCCCTTGACCCCTTTGCCTCTCTTAGTATCCTGGGATAGATCCCATCAGGCCCAGGTGACCCATCTGCCTGAATGTTTTTGAAGACACTCAACACAACCTCCTCCTTTTATTATTGACATACACTAGAATATCAACATACCCCTTGATCATCTTACCATCATCTATATCCTTCTCCTTGATGAATACCGATTTAAAGTACTCATTAAGAACCTCACCCACTTCCTCTGGCCTCATGCATAAAGTCCCTCCTTTCTCCTTGAGTGGACCTACCTTTTCCTGAGCTACCTTCTTGCTTTTAATATACATATGAAATGTCTTGGGATTCTCCTTAATCCTCCTTGCCAAGGGCATTTCATGACCCCTTGTAGCTTTCTTAATTCCTTAATCAAAGTTCTTTCCTGCTTTCTTTATATTCCTCAAGGACCTTATCTGATTTCAGTTTCCTAAACCTTACATATGCTTCCTTTTGTCTAGTAGTAATATCAGCTGAGCTCATAACAAACTGTATAGCAAACTGTGCAAGGCACAACTTAATCACAAGAAAAATAGAAAATTTCATGTTGCATTGGGAACTGCTTCAGAGTTTAAAACACCATCCAGCTGCAACTGACTGGAATACAGCACACTAAGGGAAAGGGATGAAAAATAATGGGGTTTCGCTCACTGGTTTCTTCTCCTGCCATACAATCATAGATACTTTAAAATTCCTTGAGGCTCCAGTCCTTGAAACCTTTAGATTACTTTTAGGGAAACATTTTGGGAGATCCTATTTCTTGAGAAACTGTATTGCACATGACAACATCAGGGAATAGGAAATGGGAAATAGGTTCCCTGTCATGTCCAAGCTTCCCCACCACAAAGATGGAGAAAATCAATCCTTGTTATGCCCTACATCTAGTCTTCTTGTTAAAACTGATAGACAGATAGACCTCTAGGCTCAATGTACCAATAAGTCCTATCAGACTATTTATCAACACAACTAGATTGTTGGTAAGGAGGGACTCTGAAGTTATCCAAACCTTTCACTAAGCCTTAATGGAAATGGATGGCATTTTTATATGAGTTCAAATCAATGTAAGATTCTACCAATCTTTTACTTACTCTTTGACAAACTGTGTGCTGTGCTGTGCTTACCTGTCCAACTTCCACCAGTTTGGTAATCATTACGATACATTTGCAACGCTCCTGCCACACCATCCTCCAGAAGTCATACACCATTTCTTGTTTGGGTCCTAAGCAATAAAGAAAAATATTCAGGTTTGAATCACACTTTCAATTGATAAACATAAAAACAAGACAAGGCCATTTAGTCCCACAAGGCTGTTCCACCATTCAATAATATCATAGCTGATCTAATATAACCTGATTGGGATCCAGTTTGACTTTATTCCTCTCTGCTATTGTGGGCCTGGACTTGCAAACCATGCAATAGTTGGACAGCTGATATTTGCTGAAGCAGGTGGGTGGAATGTATGGAATTTTGCATTCTTCTTCTGCTATTTGCATTTGGCTTCCATCTATGCTTGTCGAGTCTCTGAAGCATTTCCTCTTCTCTTCATATAACACCCCTTGCAATCAAAAATCTATCACTGTCAGATTTCAAAATTTTGAATCGATTCAGCATCAATTACAAGTTGAGGAAAAATTTTCTAAACATAAATAGGGTGGCACGGTGGCTCAGTGGTTAGCACTGCTGCCTCACAGCGCCAGGGACCTGGGCTTGATTCTACCCTCGGGCAACTGTCTGTGTGGAGTTTGTACATTTTCCCTGTGTCTGTGTGGGTTTCCTCCAGGTGCTCTGGTTTCCTCCCAGTGTTCTGGTTTCCTCCCACAGTCCAAAGATGTGCAGATTAAGTACATTGGCCATGCTAAATTGCTTGTAGTGTTCAGGGACGTGTAGATTAGGTGGGTTAACGGGGATTGGATCTGGGTGGGATGCTCTGTGGGTCAGTGTGGACTTGTTAGGCTGAAGGGCCTGTTTCTACACTGTAGGGATTCTATCCTATGACAAAGATTGGGAAACATTGAAAGTTCCCTAATCTCACTCTTGAAGCACCTGGCTGTCATTTTAGGCAATGCTCCTAATCCTAGAATCCATGTCCACCAAAAATATTTCTCTCTACCCATCCTATAAGCTCCCTGTAATATTTTGAAACTGCATTCAGATCAACCCTCCACAATTTAAGGTTGAGGAATTTGACTCTAGTAGTTTCTCTATGTAATTTAATCCTTCAGTCCAGATTTCATTGTGGTGTATCTACGCTGCAGTCCCTCCAAGGCTATTGTATTCTTCCTAAAGTCTGGTGTTCAGAACCCAAGACAGTGCTTTAAGTGTGGTCTACTTACAGATTTGTACAGTTGTAGCATGAGATCTTCCATCTTGTACTTTAGTTCTTCAGAAATAAACAACTGCACACATTAATTTCTTTGATATATTTAGTACCTGCCTGGGACATTTTATTGATTTATGTACATGGACTCGTAAGTCACCTTGGACCTCCACTGTTTTCAGCCCTTCATCATTTATAAAGTAGTCCATTCTTTCCTTTTTGGATCCAAAGTAGATCACCTCACAAATCTGACATTCAAATCCATTTTCTACAATTTTACCTATCTACTTAATCCATTAATGTTGCTGTTCAATTTACTGCTTCTATCGGTGCTGATTGTAACTGTATCTATCTTTCTGTCATCAACAAACTTAGAAATGTAATCCTCCATTCTATCATCTCAGTTGTTAATCAATGGATATTCCTATGATCACAGTTAAAAAGAAATAATTTATTGTGAAATACTCTGGGATTCACAGTGGGGTGCTTTTTAAAATTGCAGCTCTCTTTACTTCCTCTCATTAACCTGCACAGCAAATCTTGCATCTATGATGAACGTCTTGCTTCCATTTGCTGTTGTTTAAGTTCCCTCCCAGCAAATTCCATCTAATGGTATGTGATACAATCCATTCCCTACTCTCTACCTAAATTAATTTGTGATTCACATTGCTACCCTTCCTGTGTTCTATTTGTAATTTGCCTGCAATGGGTCAATGAATAGTCCAAATTACACAATGAATTTGAAGTGTGAACTTGTGATCAATGCTGTATTGAAGAACATTGCATCTCAAATTACTTTGGCATAAATCGGGATTTGTGTATATTTCAATCTGCTTCATAAAGGGAGAACTATACATATAGTAAAAGGTTTTCAGTGGAAGTAAGAACATAAGAATTAGGAGTGGGAGTAGAAAATACAGACTCTCGAGTCTGCTCCACCACTTAATACAATCATGGCCAATCTCATTTCAGCCTCAAGTCTACTTTCCTGCCCACTCTGTATAACCACTCGACCCGTTACTAATTTAAAAATCCATCTATGTCCTCCTTAAATTTACTCAATGCCGCAGCATCCAGCGCACAGATTCACAACCCTTTAATTTCCTTTTATCTTTGTTTTAAATCTACTACCCTTTATCCTAAAACTTTGACCTCTTGTCCTAGATTGCCCCACATGGGAAATATCTTTCTACATCTACTTTGTCAATCTCCTTTAGTATCTTATATAGCTTAATAAGATCTCCTTTCATTCTTTTAAATTCCAAAGAATATAGACCTAAATGGCTCATAAAACAAACTCCTCAACTCTGGAATCAATCTAGTGAACCTCCTCTGACTGCCTCCAATGCAACAACAACAAGAAGGGAATCAAATTTGTATACAATACAAGTGCAATCTCACTCATACCTTGTACAGTTACAGCAACACTTCCCCACTTTTATACTCCCTCCTTTCAGCAATAACAGAGAGTTGGAATAACAGATAAGTACTCAAATTAACATGCTGCAACTAGTGGTGTTCTACAGGGATCTGTGTTGGGGACCTCAATTATTCACAATATTCATTAATGACTTGGATAATGGCATAAAAAGTCAAATATCCAAATTTGCTGATGACACAAAATTGGCAGCATTGTAGACAATGTTGACTGCAGCATAAAATTACACAGAATATTGATAGACTAGGTGAATGAAAAATGTATGGCAGATAGATTTTGATATAAGCAAGTGTTAGGTTATCCATTTCAGACCAAAAAAAGTATACATCATTTAGAAGGCACAAAGTTAAATACAATGGATTTCCAGAGTGATTTGGGCATTGGACTCCACTTAGAGTACTGTGAGCAGATCTGGGCATCCTTGAGAAAGATGGTTTGGTCCTGGAGGGAGTTCAGGAGTAAAGTTATTAGATAAATTAGGCCTTTATTCTCTAGAACTTAGAAAATTAAGAGGTAATGTAATCGAGATCTTCAGATATTAACAGTGAAAAATGGGGTAGATAAATTATTTCCACTGGATGGAGTTTCGAGACCCGGGGCATAATCTAAGAATTAAGGCCAGGCCATTCAGGAGAGATGTTAGAAAGCACTTCTCCAAGCAAAGAGTAGTGGAGGTTTGGAACTCTCTTCCTCAAATGGTGGTTGATGTTAATTCAGTTGCTAAATCTGAGATAGACACATTTTTATTATGCAGGTGTATTGTGGGAAATGGGCCCAAAACAAGCACATGGAGTTCAGCCACAGATCAGCCATGATGTTAGAGTAGGTTCGAGGGCTTGAGTGGCCTACCCCGTTCCTATGTTCCTAAATGTCAAAGTGCCATTTTCCTTCCTTATTATCTGCTGTACCTGCGTACTAGCTTTCTATAATTCAAGCATGAGGACATCTAAATCCTTCTGCGCTGAAGTACTCTGAAGTTTCTCTCCATCTAGATAATAAATTACCTCTATTCCTCCCACCAAAATAGATAACGTCACCCTTATCCACACTAAATTTTGGCCCATTCACCTAACCTATCCTTATCTATTTATAACTTTCTTATTTGTTTGTTGCAACTTACTTTCCCACCTATTTTAGTGTTATCTGCAAATTTGGCTATAGTACTTTCTATCCCCACATCCAGGTCATTAATATAGATAGTAAATAGTTTGGGTCTGAGGACTGAACCCTGTGGCATCCCACTAGATACATATTGCCAATTAGAAAAAGGCTGATTAATTCTGACTCTTGCTTTCTGTTGGTCAGTCAATCCTCTACCGAAGCTGATGATATTACCTCTAACTCCATGTGATCTCATCTTATGTATAAACCTTTTGTGTGGCACCTTATCAAATGGTTTCTGGAAGTCCTGATAGATGACATCTGCAGGGATCCCCATTATCCACATTGCTCGTGACGTCTTCAAAAAACTTTAGCAAATTAGTCAAACATGACTTACCCTTCATAAAATCATAATGACTCTGATGGGTTGCATTTTGACTTTCCAAATGTCCTGGTGTTACTTCCTTAATAATGGATTTTAACAACTTCCTAACAACAGATGTTAAACTAACTAGTCTGTAGTTTCCTACTCTTTGATTTTTTGAATAAGAGTGTTATATTCACATTTTACCAATCCAGTGAAGCCTTTCTCATAACCAGGGAATTTTGGAATATCATAACGAATGGATTCACTATCTCTGCTGCCAATTCTTTTAACTAGGCCATCAAGCCCTGCCTTTAATCCCACTAGTTTGTTTATTATTTTTTCCCTGATGATGATGGTTGTTCTAAATTCTGCATTACCTGCATCATATGTAATTATGACCATAACGGGATTCCAATGGAGTTCCAAAGAAGAGTCATAATTAACTCAAAATGTTCACTCTTTCTCTCTCCACAGATGCTGCCAAATCTGCTGAGTTTCTTTAGCACTTTATTTTCATGTCAGATTTCAAGCATCTGCAGAATTTTGTTTTGAATAATTTTACAATGTTAAATTTCTGTCATTCTACACAGAGATATGCAGACTTACCTTGTGTTGCAATGAAGTGTTTTGCTTTAAAATTGGCCTGTAGAAGTCACCAAAAAAACTGTATTAATGAAAATACATTTTGCATATACTTGAGAACGACTGCATGCACAACTACATATAATTCAAACCAAACTGTGTCATTTGCTTCAGAAGTTATGTCAACTTTATTCAGTGTTTACTTATACATACGGTGCCTGTTAATGTGGACATGGTTCATGGGCACTATAATGTGGTTATGCAGGAAAACATTCATTCAATTTCACTCAGAGCTGATGGACTTTTATTTGGACAGTTGCTATCATTTTAATGCGGATGCTCCAATTAACAGGGTTCAATTGCATTTACTTTTGCCCAGTGCCTACACAAAGGCAGCAACATTTCAAATATTCTCCCAATCTCAGTGGCAGAAAACAATCATTAAATAATGACATAAGGAACTCAAAATTAAAACAAAATAAATTCAACAAGAGCTTTTGAAGATATGGAAACATGTTTTAATCAATTCAAGTACTGCATTGAAACTAATCATTAGATTATCATCAGCAATAGGTATTATCTGCAAGAAGTCATGTTTCATTGAAAAGAAGACTGAAAGGCATTGCAGAAAATTGCTGGATGGGAGAGACTCCTGATTTCACCTCCTGTTGATCAGTTTTCACCACTAGGGTGAAATTAGCAGTCTTCTATCTGTTCAGCTGCACTAAATGATGTGATTCCAACCTGTCACCAGCTACTCCACTGTATCATAATTTATGTTTCTCAAATAAACACATCATCTCTATATCACATTTATGTGTTACCCGCATTTATATGTTTCCAAAATTGCCACATCTCAATTACATTGGAGCTTTATTGCAAAGTCACCCTCGGAATCAAAGCAGACTCTCAACTGGATTTCAACATTCACTTAAGGCAATGACAAACTGCTTCACAATAAAATATGCATTAAGCAGTAACATTGCTTCTCATATACAATGCAATATATTCTTCAAGTACACACTGCTCCCTTACCCACTCCACACACATAAATTTGTAAATGCATCCTTCTTTACTAAACTATCACTCACACTATGCAACAATGTATCCCTTTCAAGAAATATACTACTAATCTGCAACAATTGCTCAGAACACACGTGGCTCAGCTGCATTCTAAGTGGCAACATTCTATCAAGTCTAACACACCAACTGGAAGTTCTCATGTAACCTCAAATCAACTGAGCATGCCAGGACATCTCAGACAATGTGTCAGTCAACAGACAGGATAAAAGACGATCATGAATTTGATGATGGATAATATTTAAATCCTGCAACTTTTTGAGTAATGCATAGTTAGAACAAAATGGAACAGCTAGTGAGCATAACAAAGTTGCTACAGTACTGACTTATTCTTGTTTTCATCGATATGCCTTGCTCAATAGTTCAACTAAAAAATCTGTAAAAGGTACAACTATATTTCTGTATAAATTATGTATTTTTACTCTGTGAATCCAATCTTGGATTTGTGAGAACTGAGTTCTGGAATTTAGATGGGTTCCCAACCATTACCTAACTACTTCAAGTGTATACAGCTACCCCAGTGCCCCATCTCACCTGCAACCACGCTTATCACGTTCCAATACATTCTATGTTCATCTGCATTCACAGAGTATGAGCTTCTTGTAGTTGTGCAATTTTATTCAACCAACTGTCATCACCACTTACTGAAGGACTGAAAAATCAGGAAAAGTATCTGGCTGAAGATTTGTCTATCAAGATACTGCTATGTTCAACTGCATTCTTATGTCCCATCCTTTTAATTGAGGCACCGTGATGAAAAACAGATCAAAAGTGTCAAGTTTCAGGTGCATTCCAAAGCACTGAACAGATGAACATATGATTGAGGGGCAGTATCCTTCCTATTACATCAGTGCCAGATGGAGTCAGAGTCCAATATGTCGATTTCTAATGACATGCAAAATTCACTCAAATTCTTTATATAAAAAAGTGCTCCTAAAACTGGCAGGAGAAGAAAATCAACTTGTCCACAAATTTTAAATAAAAGACAAATAATTAAATTTCACCACAAAAACTGATGCACTCTCAACACGATGCATTTTGTGTCATACTCACTTCATTGTTCATCTTTGCCTGCACTCCAGATGAGGAAGGGGTGTAAAAACCAACAAAGACACAAGTATATCAGTGAAGGGAAAGATCCTATCCAGACACATCATAAAAATAAGGAAAATTCTCACATACAATCAATTCTTTTGCATAGCAAATGTGCAAAACTCTTGCACAACCGTTTGGAGGATAAGTCTAATTCAAAAAGTGAATTTCAGTATAACCTTACACTATAAATCACAGTTGTTAGTTACATTATACCCTCTTTATTCTTTGCCACTTTGCTGCTTTGCTGGCACATCACATAAGTAGCCAATTATTAATGCAAGTCTTGCAATGACAAATCGTTTCATCATGGTGAGGAGGCGGTAGACTGAGCAATTATCCCAGTATATCCTAATTTAATCTGATACCTGTTTGTGCACTCTCAACAACTATCATTAAATCGCATTGAAGAACAGGATCCCTGATCAGTTTTCTCCTTACTCTAAAAGCGCTAAGTTCAATTGTGGTATTCCTACTTCTAATCCAGCCTACTCAGACCAAGAACTGAAGGTGAGATACTCCTGTTCTTTGATTCAATTGTTCACTGGGTGAATGTGCTCAGCAAATGGACAAACAATATGTATCATATTTGTTCAGAAGACCAAGAGACACTTGTACGCATTGATTTGCATTTTTTATGCACTAATGTTGAATCAAAATGGTTCGGAATTAATTTGAATAGTGTTTTTATATATAAAGATTCATACTTTATGACTTTATCTCCACTAATTATAATTTTACTTTAACCATGACAAATTGCAAAATGAGAACATTTAAATCTCAACTCAAAGGCTTTTCTTTTCCAAGCTTGTTACTTGGTCTGAGTTCCAGTTATTGTGAATAGTGGAGATTGATAATAATTAAAGTCCTAATAATATTTCAAATTCTGGACTCTCACTTTCAAACCTTTTCTGAATTGACCCAGGAACTCTCCCCTTCCTGACTACACTTAGATGAATAGATGTATTCCAGAATCTGGATGACCTGGCAGTTGGGTTTTAGCTCTGTAAAACAATCTAACTAATTTTACACTAATGTCAAGGCATTATTAAAGTTTCTTGTTTGTTTCTGATAATGCTGAAGTCAAAGTTGATGTAGCCAGAAAATAGATCAGTTCTGAGGAAATGAGCTAAAGTCACTCTATTGGCACACTAGCCAGCCATACTTCCAAAAAAATCGCCTGAAAAAATCTAAATAGAGCCATATGTGCCTTTGTTAAAAAAAAAATTCTGAACAAATTTGGACTGGCAAAATGATTGAGATAGTTCCTTTACAAAAGGACACCACAGGCAGCAGATAGAAAACGCATTCCAAACATTTGAGTCTTCCAGGTTTCATGAGCTGCAGGTTCTGAGACTAGGAAATTTGCAATACATTTGAATAATGTATGTGTTGGGATTTGTATGGCTGGGGGGAAAGAGACAAATATTTGTGTTTGACAATCAGCAATCAAAAGGGCTCCTAGAATCTAGTTGTGGTTACTTCCAACTTCTGTCACTGCACAGGGAGGTTCCTATTTTACTCCCCTTTAGCTTGGTGATGGTTTGCACCTGAATGCCTGATATCATTTTGGAAGGATTTTGCAATCTGGCAAGGGACTAACAGTTCCAAATCTAAAATCTGAACTCAATTCAAATGTGTGTCAATAACCATGCCTTGAAACATGCAATATGAAGGAATCAACTGACTTTCAGCCTTAGTTTACATATTGGTCATGAGTTAATCTGACATTTGAGTTACTGCAATCACTGACATACATAAATATTCGCACACAAAAAAGTATTATTACTAGGAGCAAATATTTGGCCCTCTGCTAAACATATTTCAAGTTATTGCCTGAAAATACTGTAATCTCAACTAAAGTTTGGCCATTTGTGAATTAAGAATGCCAAAAAATTTACTTAATAAATTTGTGTTTGTACCTAATAGTTTTGCAGATTATAACGTAGACATGTTCATGAAACTGATTAAGGAATTTGAATTTGATGATGAAATGTCAACACAAAAATGATTGTGGAGACAGGGAAAGGGGACCTCTGTCATTGTACACCTTCAAGGGACTGGATGTCATGGTCAGTCAGAATTTTTTTTTCATTTCTAGCACTAGCCTACACAGTTATTAATCTTTCTTTTCTCCACCAACCCCTTCCAACAAGCCTTACAGTCTCTGGACTGCAGGATTCTGAGAAGATGAGTCATCACCACTTCCTCCAGGGCAATTAGGGATGAGTAATAAATGCTGATTCAGCCAGCAATGCCCACCTCCCAAGAATCCATAATAAAAAAAAACTATAATGGTTTTGAGATTAGATAATTCAACTGGCTTAATCCAGAGTGATTTCAGAACATAAAGCTAATCCTGGTTTTGGCACAATTCACCTAACAATGACAATTATATTCAGAGTGGCTCAAAGGGTGGCTGGTGGGGGAAACAAACAATAGAATTGTTTAAGGTTTTCGCAGTATGTTTTGGGCATTATGGTACAATGTTGGGAGGAGTAGAGAGAATATTACTTTGTAGTGAACATGCACCATCTTATCAAGAATTGTTTGCTGTTGATGCAAGGTGTAATAATGCAAAATGTTCTCCCTGGAACTGAGATCCCTAATCTTCAAAATCATAAGAATTCAAATACAAAAATGAATTGTATACAATCTTCTATTCTTGTAATGAATAATATTTAAATTTGACACAAATACAAAGAATGTTGGAGAAACTCAGCATTCTGGAAGAAGTCATACTGGACTCAAAATGTTTGCTCTGTTTTTCTCTCCACAGAAGCTGCCAGATTTGTTTGTTTCTATGGTATTCTCTGTGTTTATTTCAGATTTTCACCATCTGCAGTACTTTGCTTTTATTTGAATGTTTAAATTTGAAATTATTTTATGAGCTTATCACTTTTTTGGGTTAACCAAGCTTAGTTGAGTTTTCAAAATTAAACTATACCCTGTAAACCAATAACATATCTACAATAGCCAAGGAAAGATAAAGTCTAGTTAGGTTGAAAGCCAAATATTTTGTTGTTGATTTCTGACAAATCTTATTGGATCACTCAGGATCTTTAATGATTAGGTTACATTGTGAAGGTTTAGGTTTTTAGATTACTGAAGAGTTGACTAACAAAGTTAGTTAGATCGTAGTTGACACAGGCAAAGCAGTGTCAGCCAGGAACCCTACTGGTTATCAGAATAATTCAATAATAATTATCATCTTCATTATTGAACTTTGGCCTGCCTCACTCTAGCATCACTCATTGGTGCCACGATATTTATGAATATTTGTTGTATATTTTCATCATATCAAGAATGCCAATGTCCACAAAATCTCTTTATCCAATCTTGAAACTATTAATCCTATTCTCCACAGGTTATTTTAGAAATCTCAGTTCCATTTTCAGAAAGCCCATTCCATACTTGAACTTCTTTCCCCAAAAATGCAGTGGATGTTGGACCAATTAGAATTATTAAGACAAACATGGATAGACATGTTGTTAGGTGAGGATTTCTGTGTTATGCCAATTTTGGCCTTGAACATATCCCTGATTTTTAGCACATACAATTGGCAACATCAAATTAAGCTCCAGAACTTTAGCCGTAAGCCTCTATCTCTCTGTCTCCTCCTTCAACTTGCTTTTTGGCCTCTTTGACCAAACTTTAGATCGCTTGTCCTAATACCTTGGTGTCAGAATTTGTCTGATAACGTCTTGGTGAAGTGCTTTGTGATATTTTATGACATTAAAGGCATTATATATATGCAAGTTATTTTTGTTGTCAGTGTATCCAGGAATTCAGAGCAAAGATGGCATACAGAGACAGTGTGGATTCGGGATGATCTAACTGAATGGCAGAACAGGCTTTATTCCTGCTCCAAATATCCTGTCAACTATAACTACCTATATGCTTGCATGAGTTGTCAGCAATCAAACGTGTAAATGATATTGGTTTTTACTTTCTTCAGAATAAGTTGCCATTGTAACTACACAATGTTAAAGAACTATTCTTGCTGATCACCTTCCATCATACAGTAAATAAGGTACATACCTTAAACTTCATTGCACACAGAAGGTTATACCGCATTTCAGACCCGTTTATGTTCAATCTTCTATATTCCTTTCTCTGTAAATCGGCCAAGCAACGACAACTTGAGATTAGTTGGAACAATCTACTCATGTACCATTTCCCTGTATATACAGTTTATAGCTCGGAACACATTAATTTGACAATTAACGAATAAAATACAACAATTTGGAGACTTCGTATTTCAACAATTTAACATCAGTGAATGTCAATCATTAAAGTTTTGATAAAGTGAGTATTATAGTTTTTGGTTTGACCAGGTTATCTTCTTGGTATAGAAATTTCCATTTATAGAAGTCAGGAAGAGAATTTCCACCAAGTATACTAAAGATATTCCTTACAAAGGAGGTTATGATTTAGTTTTAGAGATCACTCAGAACAGAGCTTTCCTCTGATTGGAAATCTGAAAACCACCAATTAAGGATGCCCAAAAATACTGGCCTCATTAGCAACATCCACATTCCACGATTGAACAGGTAGATTATTCGTAAGTTTTCTTTATATAAATGAGTAAAATTGCGTGGATGGTGGTGGTGTTAGGAACAGCTCTCTTGACATCGAAAGACAACAGCACAGTTTATTTTTAATTGATAGATTAAGAATAGGTAAGCATCAAAGCTAAACAGCATGTATATTGTTGGTTTCATATACATTAAACTTACAAACTGTGATGTATTTTCTATGATTTAGCCAAAACTGGAGGTTCCCCATCCAGTGACTCACCATGTACGTAGTGGTAATTCATGTTATATCAGGACACATCGATAACTAGAACCAGGAATCATTGGCTGGAATTACCTTTATCTATATGATAGGACCATAAGAATAGTGATCCATCAAATATAAAATGGGCATTGATAGGAGTGTGAGACAACAAGGTGCAGGGCTGGATGAACACAGCAGGCCAAGCAGCATCATAGGAGCAGAAAGGCCGACGTTTCGGGCCTAGACCCTTCATCAGAAAAGGGGGAGGGCTCGGGGACCGCTTTGCAGAACACCTACGCTCGGTTCGCAATAAACAACTGCACCTCCCAGTCGCGAACCATTTCAACTCCCCCTCCCATTCCTCAGACGACATGTCCATCCTGGGCCTCCTGCAGTACCACAACGATGCCACCCGAAGGTTGCAGGAACAGCAACTCATATTCTGCTTGGGAACCCTGCAGCCCAATGGTATCAATGTGGATTTCACAAGGTTCAAAATCTCCCCGCCCCCTACCGCATCCCAAAACCAGTCCAGCTCGTCCCCGCCTCGCTAACCTGTTCTTCCTCCCACCTATCCCCTCCTCCCACCTCAAGCCGCACCCCCATCTCCTACCGACTAACCTCATCCTGCCCCCTTGACCTGTCCGTCCTCCCTGGGCTGACCTATCCCCTCCCTAACTCCCCACCTACACTCACCTTTACTGGCCCCATCCCCGCCTCTTCAACCTGTTTGTTTCCTCTCCACCTATCCTCTCCTCTATCCCTCTTCTATCCGCCTCCCACTCTCTCCCTATTTATTTCAGAACCCCCTTCCCCTCCCCCTTTTCTGATGAAGGGTCTAGGCCCGAAACGTCAGCCTTTCTGCTCCTATGATGCTGCTTGGCCTGCTGTGTTCATCCAGCCCTGCACTTTGTTGTCTTGGATTCTCCAGCATCTGCAGATCCTACTATCATTGATAGGAGTGTACTTGATAAATCAAGCTAAAAGAATATTAAATGCTAAAAATGTGAAAATAGTCCTGTCGTACAGTGAAAATATATCTCAAAATTCTTCAGTTTTGTACTTTTTATTTTATCAGCAGAGTTGTATTTTTTCTTATTCATTCATTGGCGAAGCCAATGTTTACTGCCCCCGTCCTTATTGCTCTCAAGAGGGTAGTGGTGGGGTATCTTCTTGAATTCAACAGAAAAGTTGGCTAGGCTATTTCAGATGGTAGTTAAAGGTCAACTACATTAATATGGGTCTGGGTTTTATATATAGGCCAAGCCCATCAAATGAGGGCAGATTTCCTTCCTTAAAGAATATAACAGAATCAGTTAATGTCAATCTAATAATTTCATGGTTTCCATTAGAGTTGCTAACTTTTTATTCCCAACCTATTTATTGAATGGAATTTAAATTCCTCAGTTGCCATGGTAGGATTTAGACTTATGTTTCTTGTGTCATGAATCTAGGCCCCCAGATTACTTATGTAGTAACATAACAACATTCTACTGTTTTCTCTACTTGCATCACTGGTCTCCTGAGTAGCTTGATCTGAAACAAATGGTTAGTGTTGGTTGGGAATGAATTGACTCAACCATTAATAACTATTGCAGGTTTGGCTTTGGTGAGCTTAATGTTCCACAAAGTGATCATTTAACTTTAAGTTCTCAGGTTTAAACTGGCTGAAACAAAAAAAAATCACACATTTACACATCAGCATTAGTATGTGCTATTGACTAAAAGCAGCTCCCACCTTTAAAATGCACATTGGGATCCAGCAATCAAAAATATAAAATATCCCAATTTTGTTTTCAGAAAAGTAAACAGGAAAATCAAAAACAAAAAGGTTAATTATAGTTTGAAGCAGGACAGGTCAAATAAAGAAAGATTTGCATTTATTTGACACCTTTCATGACCTCAGGTCACCAGAGCACTTGAGAGACGAGTGTATTTGAGGTGCAATTATTTTTATTCACTCTGGGGACAAGGGTGTCATTGGCTGAACCAGCATTTATTACCCATTCCTAATTGCCCAGAGGGCAGTTAAGAGTCAACCAAGTCGACAAAGTAGGGATGGCAGTTTCCTTCCCTAAAGGACATTAGTGAACCAGATGGGTTTTTCTGACAATCGACAATGGATTCACGGTCATTGTTAGACACTTAATTCCAAATTTTTAATGAATTCACCATCCACCATCTGCCGTGGTGGGATTCAAACCCAGATCCCCAAAACATTAGCGGAGTTTCTGGATTAATAATCTGGCGATAATACTTCTCAGTCATTGCCTTCCCAAAGTTACTGTTGTAATGTGGCAATAAGAAATAGGAGTGAAAAACAGGTAAAAATGGAAATTAGGGCAAATGGAATTAATTTTATTTTTAATATTTTGAAAATTTAAATGTCGTTTTAAGCAATTAATTTGATATATATAGGATCAATATAATATCAATAGCTTACTTTATTTGATTGCTGTAATAATATGTCTACTGATATTGAAATAATTACTATAATTCGGGTGTTTAATCTCACTTGATTTTGTGAACTGGAAAGCAAATTATCACCATAGAGAGACAGTCCAGACGGCCATAATTGCTTACGAGGGTGAAACTAATTTAGCCCTGATTTTCCGATAGGAGCACATTCTCCCCAAGTTTGCATGGGTTTCCTCTGGGTGCTCTGGTTTCCTCCCACAGTCCAAAGGTGTGCAGGGCAGGTGGATTGGCCATGCTAAATTGCCCATAGTGTCCAGGGATGTTTAGATTAGGTGGGTTAGACATGGGAAATGCAGGGATAGGGGGATGGGTCTGGGTGGGATGCTCTTTGGAGGGCCAGTGTGGACTTGTTGGGCTGAATGGCCTGTTTCCACACTGAAAGGAATCATGATTCTATGATTCTATGATTCTATGAACATTGCAGGAGCACAAATAGAAATTGTGCTTCAGGACATGTGTAAGTCCCAACACAGCTGACTTCCTGGGAATTGTTCTGGAAGTTGAAACTTTCTATGATCAATTTCTTGGCATTTCACCTGACTAGAAATTGGGAGTGGAATTTTCCCAGTATCTGAATGATATAGGCAGTGGCAACAACTTGGAGGAAATATGGTGAGAATGAAAAAATAAGATTCTCAACACTAAGAAAACAAAGTCCCCTTAAGGTTTCAACAGCTATATGGGAATCTTGCTAGTAAATTAGAGGGCCCTAACTGCATGCACTAACATCTGATTATTAGCTAATCTCAATGCATTTTTATGCAGATTGTTATCCCCCTAAAAAATGGTGAGGAACTAGACAGTACCAATTCCTAACTTGAAAGTTAGAGCGCTTAACTGGCAGATTCAACTTGTCAGCATCTTCTCTGGGACTGCAGAGTGACCAGCATTTCTAACAACTCAGGCCACATATGGAAGCTGGCATTGTCAGAGCACCAGCCTAACCAATTCATCATGGCTCACATCAGACTCATTTGGAATACTGTACAGCACTTCAATACTCCACTTTGGAACTGACCAACAGATATGTTGCAATACTGCTGCCACCATGGTAGATGGTGGAATTTGAATTCAATAAAAATCTAAAATTAAAAGTCTAATCATGACCATGAAACTATTGTCAATAGTCATAAAAAGCCATTTGGTTTACTTATATTCCTTAGAGAAGGAAACTGACATAGTCACCTGGTCTGCCTATATGTGACTACAGACTCACAGCCATGTGGGCTGCATGGTGGCTCAGTGGTTAGCACTGCTACCTCACAGCGCCAGGGACCCGGGTTGATTCCAGCCTTAAATGACTCTCTGAATGGAGTTTGCATGTTCTCCTTATCTCTGTGTGGGCTTCCTCCGGGTACTCTGGTTTCCTCCCACAGTCCAAAGATATGCAGGTTAGATGGATTGGCCATGGGAAATGCAGAATTACAGAGATAGTATAGGGTAGAAGGTATGGATCTGGGTGGGATGCTCTTTGGAGCGTCAGTGTGGACTCAAGGGGCAGAATGGCCTACTTCCACATTGTAGTAATTCTATGTAGTTGGTTCTCAACTGCCCTTTGAAATGGACAAGCAAGCCATTGGGTTGTGTCAATCACTTAAAGTGAGAAAACAAATGAAACTGGATAGACCACAGCCATCAATTAAGGCACCCAGAAATGACAACAATAAACACAGCACTATCGACCCTGCAAAGTCCTCCTTACTAACAACTGGGGACTAGTACCTCCTACTGATTACCATTTACTACCCCTATTGGCTGATGAATCAGTACTCCTCCATGTTGAACGTCACTGGGAGGAAGCACTGAAGGTGGCAAGATATGTAATATACTCTGGATAGGGTACATTCAATTTCCAT